CATACCCACCACTTCAAAGTCATTAGAGAAAATGATTATGTTCTGCCATAGGCATGGACATGAACTAGGCATGGACACCTTGGAGGCCAAAACACAGTTATTAAGAGAAAAACAGAGTATGGAGGACTGAATATATTCAGCCTTAATATACAGATTTAATGTAAGCAGGTTCATTTGATGTAACTTTCTCTTGATTAATCATGTAACTTTTTTTTTTTTAATGTTTTAAACCAAAACTAATTTAGCTGCTTGAAGATTTGAATTGTTTCTATTTGGATTAGTTCATTTAAGACTACTTCTAGGAAATGAGAAGAAAGTTATATTTCTGAGATTGAACAGGGACTGAACTAATCTCAGCATGCAATCACATCTCATACTGCTGAGATTTTCAAGATAATCCAGAACACTGAGAGAACCTGAAGCCTGCAGATGAAAGAACGGGCTGGGATGCAAAGCCAAGATCAGTAAACAACCACTTCCACCCAGTCCCCCTTCCCTGACAGTTACAATCTCACCTATCATCTTAAAACCACTTTTGACAGATGCAAATTTTGTGGGAATATAAAGCCCTTTGGTAAAGTGGTTGGGAACACACTCGAATTCCACTTCAGTTAATATCAATGTACATGACAGAAGCAGGTCCTAAGTAACATAAGAAAGGTTTATCTTTGAGATCTTTAAAATATTCATACTTGCATTTTATGTTTTTTTTTTAATCCAACTGACTTCAAGCAAATATTTATTAGGAAACAGTCACACAGGCACAACAAACATACATTCCCAGGGGGAGAAAGGATTTTGTAAAAACAATTGTATTTTGAAAAATATAGACAGCTTATAAAACCTATTTGGAGTCTGTCTGAAAAGTATCACATCTAATGGTGTCAACAACTGTCACTTGGCTTGCCAAATAGGTTGGAAGACCGAAATTGCGGGATGTTCAGAATCTGGGTATTATTTACGTGTTCCTGTCTGTATCAAGGGAGAAATAATACTGAGTTTAAAAATACAGAAAAGACACAGCAACATCCTTCTGAAATTTGTGTAACCCTAACCAAGATACCTACACACTACACTAAAACATACTGCTTTTTTTGCATGCATGTGGCTAAATACCCCTCAGGAACATATTCAGAGAAAAATAGCTTGTATATAACACTATTACCAAGCTAATTCTGCTTTTGTGACACTGTAGAAGTGAAAATATTTGAAGGTTCCTTGCAACTACAATTCTTGCTGAAGTTACTTCTGCCTGCCAAACTACGTAACTAGTTTGCTGAGTATTTTATTATTGTGATTAAAAAAGCTAATTAAATAATACTGAATATGCATATTGAAAGATTATTTGCAATCACATTGCAAAGACTCTCTGAAGCTTATAATTTAACATCTAACATGACTATGCTAACTTCATTAATACCTCTTAAATATCTGAAAGCACTTGAAAAATCTAAGGAATACACCTAAATTGACTTTCTTATGCCTCATACACAGTCAATCTGTTCCTTTTACAGGTGGCATAAAAGATGTAATTACTCCAAAGCAGGTTTTTTGACATAACTGTGTATTTTATGGCTGAGCTTTAGAAGATTGCACATGCCATAAATTCCAGCAGTGATGTGTATGTCCACTCATGCATCTGCTATTAACTTTTGAGTTCACATGTTTTGACATACATTTCACCTTTCAAAAGCATTTATGGGACCCAAACTTCATCTGTGAATTTCCATGTGTGTTCCTTTTTTAACCAAATTTTCCCATCTCATCTTTGGCTGCAAATTTCAGAAAAGATGGGCTTCATAACTTTGTATCTTCAATACAAATTTTTCATATGCTTAGGGAAATCTTTGAGAAAAAAATGTATTTGTGTATATAGGTCACTGTGGCCTCTCCTGCTTACGCAGTATTTTACATGCATTACAGGTGAAAGATAATTGCACTTGCAAACAATCACAGCGACCACAAAATAAGAAACAAGACTGCAAGCACGACTGCTGGTGCCTCTTTTTCTCCACAATGGCCTTAAAGTTAGACTGATGGTCCTCTGGGCTTTTTGCCAAAAACGCACATCAGATTAAAATAGAAAGAAGGGAAATAAGCAACCTGGGGTCCAAAATTTAATTCTGACCTTATGTATAAGCTCTACAGGAGGCTTGGGCAAAGCAGAATGTTAATCTACTATTACGTGGGGCACAAGGAAACCAGAAAAAAACTTTAGAAAGAAAGAATGTATAAAATATTTTCTTTCTCGTGTGCACATTTTGGTATTTTGAAACCATCGATTTTGAAAAATAACCAAATCTTCATGTATAAACATTATGTTATTCTCAGAAAGTAACTTTTTAATGTGCATTTAGTTATATGTCCACAGCCTGCTTTCCTTCAGCTTGAGATAGACTGTATTTTTTTATGGCTTTATCCCACTTTATTCAAACCATGGACATTTCTGTTTCATAAATTTGGGGATTTATGGATCTCATTAACTAAGAAATATGGATAGCATATCAGAAAGCAGATTTGAAAGTGAAGGTTGAAAAGTTCTCTTCATCCTATCAGATGAACAGGCTGTATTTATATTTTTCTCTCATACTTTACAGTGGAAATTAGGTTTTCCTCTGCTAAAACATATTTTTTAATGGACTTCTTTGCAGAAACAGAGCAATTTTTAAAAAATCAAATCAGTGTTCTTCACAGAGCTGTTTGGAAGGAGTACACTTCCTACATATAAAATAATATTACAGTGTTCAGTCTGCAATCACAAATGAGCAATTTAATAAAATTGCACAGATGCTGACTAAGTTTATCCTAACTTCCTTGAAAGCTCTGTTATTAAGTTGTTTCTAGGGATCATGCTTAGCTTAAACTCTATTCCTTTGTTTTCCTATTATAAACCCCACATATTAATTAGCTATGTACTGGTGTATTTCACTGCACTTGAACCTTTCAATTTTAAACACAAATACCTAGAAAATTAAGCTGTTAAATACCTACTGATCCCCTCTTTACTAACTATTAAAATAACAGGTTAACTCCATTTTGTAAAGCTACTAAATAAACACAGTAATAAGTAAAAACAGTTTAGGCTATTCTGAGATGGAATTTTGAAAATGAGATTCTTGAATTACAATGCTCAGAAAGCTTGCTTATTGACTATTATTTTTAGAATATTTATATAAGATACTCTACTGGTCTAGTCTCCTGCCCTGTCAAGAGAAAATTCAGAGGACATTACTAAGTTCATCTAAACACCACATTTCAGAAGCGCAGAAACAAGAAACAGAGCATTTTTTACTCTGCCTGTGAGCAAAAGAGATTAGCCTCATATGAATAACCAGTGAGACTAACCTCATACAAATCTTCAAGTTAATCCTAGTGCTATCACAAAATTGCAGGTGGCTCACATATGAAGCAAAAAGTATTTCATGGCAATTAATACAAAGTAACATCCCCTCCTGATACAGTTTGACAAGTCAGAGATACATAACAAGCTAAAGAACAGCAACTATTTTCCACTGGGAGCTCCAGGTCACCAAAACACAGAAAGGGAGATTAATTGGAAGGCAATGGGGAAAAGTTTTGAAACTGTTACTCACCTATCGACAACCTCAGAAAGGAATGAGGCCAAAACCTTTCCTGACCACTTTCTTCAGAGGATTTATTCCGGCTCAAACTACTACCAAAACCACTACCGTGAATTTCAACCGAGTAAGACAAGGAAGTGTTCTATAAATAGCCTGATATAAAAACTTCAACTGTATTATATGAATCCTTTCTTGGTTTTTAGCACAGCAGAAGGCATGATGTATCAGTCTGTGAAGTGCTTACATGAGCAGCAGTACGAGGTAACTTTGAGAAATACCTTAATATTACGTTTGGATGCAACACTCAGATTTATAATTTCATAGAACCACAACAGAAATGAATCACACAAAGAGCTCTAATTCAAACAGAATAAACTTCCAAACACTTTACAAGCTTACATACTAGTACCTGTGCATGCACCCATAAACAAAATGTTTCAACACTTCCTTCTTTTGCTTGGCTTCCTTTACGCTTTTTACTCAATGACTGCCACAACAGACTTGATAAAATAATGATACTCTCAATGTTAAGTGCAACACTATGTGTAATAATGACTTTGACAGAAAGAAATCTTTGCATTTTTCCATATTGCTGTAATCTCATTGCTTTCTTTTTGTTACATAGATCTAAATCTTGATCAGCTGCAGAACAAATCTGTGAATAATTTGGAAAAAACTGATAGGAGGCTGGACTTTAGCTGTTATGAATCAAATAAAGCAATTGGAATCACCCTGGTTTTGTTATTTTGGTTCCCGTGCACTAGAAACCAATCGATAGTAACAGGAGTAGTTGATTTTCCTTGCTATCAACAAAAGGTACTTTTAAAACTCTAACATGGACTTTTCAAACTACCAGAGAATTTATTGGAAATACAATTTTCAGAGTGAAGAACTGTGAAGGTTCCAACCATTTCTAACCCTTGCCCTCTTACTTTTAAATAAACCCACAACTCAAACAGCTATTGACATGTACCATCTGTGTTGTACATTAATACTAGAATACAACCTCAAACTATGGGATTGAAAATACTCTTGTATAAATACATATACAAGAAGAACTGTTTAGATGGCTCTATTGCAATAACCATTTAGGAACCTGCTTTTCCACATATGAATTCAGTAAGATTGGAAAGGAAATAAACACAGATTTGTGCAGAGTATATAAATTTTTAAAAATAACCCCTGAATAATTACAGCATAGAGTGGTCCAAAAGCTCTTCACTACAGGTAACAAGATATCTTTTCTGGTTAGTTTTATGTTATGTTTAAAGTTAAGTTTAAATAGTAACACTAAACCTCATTTAATGTACTGGTTATCAGTTCCTGTATCCGAGAAAAACTAATGCAGAAGAATTTTTCCCAAACATACTCATCCCAGAATTACCATGAGCATTTTATGTTAGTTATTCCAGTGCATACCTGCAAACCTGCCAGTTGAGCAGCTGATTTCCCTTTCAGGCAGAGAATGAGTGCCACAAATGCATCCAAGTCCTCCAGAGAGAGGCTAGTAACCTAAAACAGATTAAAAATTAACATTATCTAAAGGCTCTAAAGAGGAACTTCCTGAATATTGGTTCTTCTTGCTCAAGAATATCAAACTTAAATCAATGACCTCACGAAGTTATAACCACCATTAATATATTGTCTAGATAAAGACACTTAAAGGGAACAAAATACTTAATTTCAAAACTTGAATGAAGTGTATACCCCAATACCTGTGTATAGTGTATATATGTGGATTTTCACATACCAAACAAAATAACCACCCTTTCTATATTGCCTTCTCCTCTTCCCCTGGAGTGTCTTAATAACAATTAAGTTGATTTCCATAATGCTAAGCAAAGTATAAAAGTGAGATCTTTTTCAAAAGCTTTATAATCAAGACCCAGAATAATAACCACCTCAATGAGCCCCAGATGTGATGATCACTAGGATTTCTTTCAAGTGCTTACAGTTATCTGTTGGAAACTTTAAAAATTATCTCTTTTAAGCTAAATTTTGGAATTTAATAAAACATATTTGGATTATTTTTGGTTTTGAGGTTACATATTGAAATGGAAAGAACTCAAAAATACATGAAAACTAAATCTAAAATATTAAAGTGGGCAAACATTAAGGAAAATTATAACTTCATGTAAAAGCTCACTAATACTTCTATTAGAAAAGGTAGAATAAGGGCATTAACTGTTGTGAAAAAGTAACGTGAGAGTCTGTGGAGGTGCGTGGTCACTTCAGGAGAAAGACCAGCATCTAGACCAGCTGGGCTGATACCCTGACAGTACCAGACCAGTTCTGATCACTTGCTTCCTCCTATAAGAACACTATGGATTTTACACATGCATCAAGATCAAATACCTGTCACAAATGTTGAGGCTGCAAAGAGGGCTCTAAATGAGATCCATAAAGCATTAAGATTCTTTATCAACAAGAAATCGAGGGAAGGCTTATCTTGTGAAGTATGGAAATGTGCATTGTGGGCTTACAATTAAAAGGCTGCCTGAAACCTGCACTGCCTTTCTTTTCACCCCCCTTTTAATTTTGGGGGAATGTTGTCTACATCCCATTTAAATCCATTAAGGGGTTCTATTAGGGCTATTAAAAATCCAAAAATGACAGTAAAGGGAAGAAGAGAAAAATTACAAAGAAGTATTGATGCAAATAGATAAAGAAAAAAACACTAAGAATCTGTCTAGAAGTACTTCATTCATTTATCTTGCTCCTCAAGATAAAAATTATTCAACCACTATTGAGAATTATTTATTTTTTTTTAAAATCAGGCCTTGCTGCTTATTCCATTGCAAAATACTTTGCCCTCTATGACTCTCTTAAAACTTGCATAGAGCACAAGAATGTGAGTGGTATCAAAAAAGTTCTGAGCTTTCAAAATGCTCCTTGGTATTCATTAACTCCACCTTGCTGCTAAAATCTGATAATGGCCCTACTTTATCCTGTATTTCAAGTCAGGTGTCACCTTTGTGTGAATGGCAACAAGAGAGGTTTACTAAACGTGGACATTTTATACATTGCAGTAAGAGAAAAAAATACTTTCATCTATAAAACAGTTCTTACCACTTGCGCAATTTTGTCCTAAGATAAGTCAAAGATGGCTTGCCAGTACAACAGCAAGGAAATGCCCCCAACAGAGCAGATCAGCCAAAATGTCAAAACACTTAATTAAAGAAATATTTTATGCAGTAACCAAACTTGGTGAGTGAGTCATCACACTTCTATTGCCAGATTTCTTCCTAAACTGAGAGTCTGAAAGATAAATTTCCCCTTTCTTTGAAGGCTTCAGTTTGATATTTGAACTCATTCACTGTTTTCCCTGACTTTAAAGACAGTTCTATTATTTTGTGTTTTCTTCACTATTTTTGTTCTTAATTTGGAGGTGATTCAAAAAGTTCCCTCACTGAAAAGTCTGCTCTTCAAATCAACACTTGGAAATTTTTCGTCACTTCAAACAAACAAACAAACAAACAACATCTGAAGTTGTCATTAAATACTTGCACATAAATTTTGAAAAAGTCATACAGGTTGGTCAGTATGCTGGTTCATGCAAAACCCCTACATTTTTAGGTTAGATTAAATTATGAGCAATGAAAATGTTAAGAAGTTTATTTCTCTTTCATATGAGCTGAAGGAAGATATGTTAGCCTGCCACAACTGCTCAACTTGCATCACCTTTGGGGTTAATATAGACCTCCCCTCTCTAATACAAAAGACTGAAGTGTAAAGACAAGAACCAGCCACAGTTAGAGAAGCATTGTTTTCTCAGCTATGAACCAAACGGAAGCAGTATGGCCAGCTCAAAGTGTGGCTGCTGACACTCTTGCTCTCACGTTTTTCTCTCTAACACCCCAAGAAAACAAATCAACAGTATCAGAGAACCAACCAAAGTTTAAAAAAACCTCAGCAATGAAAAACATTTTATTCCAAATCAATTGCCTAGTCTGGGTTTATAGGATAAACTTTATCAGTGCAACTCAGATGCTAAAAGAAAATCAGGATAACAGGATGGGTGTGGAGAAACTGGCACTGCCATGAAAAACCTTTCATCAAACTAAGTTCTTCGAGTGATCTCTGCTGCTACTCTTGTTGAAAACATGAACTGCAAAACTGTTCACATCTCTGTTTTTAGCATCAGCCTTTGGATAATATGTTCTGAAAACCATATCCCTTAACAAACATTTTTCCCCCATTTTATTAAGGCACTGTGATCAAGGCTCAGTAAACCCACGTTTCTGTAGGTGTTCTGACTTTTCACAGAATCATAGAATCATTAAGGTCGGAAGGGACCTTAAAGATCATCAAGTGCCAACCCCCCTGCCACGAGCAGGGAACCCTACCACTAGATCACGTTGCACAAAACCTCGTCCAACCCAGCCTTAAAAACTTCCAGGGATGAGGCATCAACAACCTCCCTGGGCAATCTATTCCAGTTCCTTACCACCCTTATAGTGAAGAATTTCTTCCTAATATCTAACCTAAATCTCCCCTCTCTCAGCTTAAAACCATTACCCCTTGTCCTATCACCATCTTCTCTGATGAAAAGCCTGTCCCCCCAGCTTTCCTGTAGCCCCTTCAGGTACTGGAAGGCTGCTATAATGTCTCCCTGGAGCCTTCTCTTCTCTAGGCTGAACAGCCCCAGCTCTCTCAGCCTGTCTTCACAGCAGAGGTGCTCCAGCCCTTTGATCATCTTGGTGGCCCTTCTCTGGACTCTGTCCAACAGGTCTATACCTTTCTTGTGCTGAGGGCATTCCTCTTCTTAAACCAACTAAAGAAACCCTAATACCTAAGAGAAATCTAAATAATACTATATCATATTATTATATTGCTTACTACACAGAATTTAATGATGAGAGCCATATCCTCAGTTCTGACTTGAAACTGAGTAAATTGACAAGATGGTGTGGAAAAAGTAGAGAGAACTCACTAAATATTTATACTGTCTATTTGCACAGCCTGCATAGTCACCTGAGGGAATGCCTTCTCTTGAGGACAGAAAGGAAACACAAAAAAGAGAAGCTTTAATTTGCAAACAGGTCCTAAAAAGTGGAGGAAATCCCACAGTTCATACTCCATTAAAATGTCCAAGGAGCTTTGTCATGAGCATGTGAGAGTTATGACCAATAAAAAAATCCAAGTGTTTCTGGAACAGGATGATGAATGTTAAATGGAGTAATTAAAAATACTGTAACACAGTAATATTATATTCAATCAACTCTGCCTACGGTAAACATTAAGAGAAAAATCCAACACAGGCTAGCAAGAAAAGGCTCATTGATCAGTCACATCTATCATGGCTGATAGCTGAAGGAAGAGCAACTGTCCCAGTTACCTGTGTCATAAGATAGGTCAGCAAGCAGCAGAATGCTGCTACAGGTGCTTCTAGAGCTTGGAGCTCTTCCATCCTGTCCTGAAGATGAAAGCATGCCAGAAATGTACTATACCGTTGCTTTTCTACATCAGTTCCTTTGGCAAACCACAGTGTTTTCAAATTAGGTGTTCCACCTACAAAAGAAATCCATTATTTTAAATTAGCAGTAACAAGATACAGCAGGCCTAATTCATTACAATCTGAAAGGAAAAAACTGATCTGCTCTTGGCACTTGGAATGACCACAGAGTTGAAAACAAAATGTATTTGACAAAACTTGGCATTTGAAAAAAAACAACACCCAAAACCCAAACAAACATAAAAATAAGGCCTGAGATTGAAACTAATTGTATTGAATACAGGTCTGTTTAAGCAGAGTGGACTGAATGAAATTATTAGATTAATATAGACAACTTTAAACCATCAGACTTTTAGAACAAAATTTGCCTACAAGCATGTCCTTTCCCTTGGAAAAGCATTAAATAAAGTTAATTTCAGCATAAAATAGCGATTCAGCATAAAACAACCATATCTGTTACTTCTCTCCCCTGAAACTAACATAGCAGGGCTCACTGAAGTATATTGCATTCCCTCCCTTATAGTCACCTCTTTTAAAGAACAAACTGGTCCCCTATGCTATTTGCTGGCAAACACACATTCTCCAGAAAACACTGTGCTGGTATGACTCCTCTGCAGCAGGTTCCAGTTTGGAAACAAAAATCAAGACTATCTGGTATTCTGCACTCCCATGGCTACTGTATGAAACAGCACACAAAAAAACTGTAATCAATTACGTATGATGTATCTTTCCAGACTTGCTATAGTATTATTCACCCTGGTCTCTACATCCTTAATATTTACCCCATATTGCCATCTCCCAACTTTTGACACGTGTGAATGTACATAAAATTCGCTCCCCATTTAAACTGCATTTAATCCATTATCAAAATAAACAGTAACACATGAAATAACAAAGCTGCTAACTGGTTATGCCTAAGAATCCAAATTAAAGACAGAATCCTCCCATAAAGTACTTCTGCAGTTAAAGAAAATGAGGTGTGAATTTTAAATGTGGACTAATTAAGTTACATATGGTAACACTTTTTTTTTTGTGACAAGCAGCAGCTGTAGTCCAGTCAGGAGCACTTGATAATAAATGGTTAAAGTGACAAGGTGCTGAAATCTACACAGACAAAGTTTATTTAACTAAGAAAGCCCATTAACCAAATGGTACTAATTCTGTGGAGTGAGGGAAACTAGAACTATTTTCTTTCATCTCCCTGATGGATGGTTCTTTTCACAGAATCACAGAATCCTAGGGGTTGGAAGGGACCTCGAAAGATCATCTAGTCCAGCCCCCCCCCTGCCAGAGCAGGATCACCCAGAGCACATCACACAGGAACCCATCCAGGTGCATTTTGAATGTCTCCAGAGAAGGAGACTCCACAGCCTCTCTGGGCAGCCTGTTCCAGTGCTCTGTCACTCTCACAGTAAAGAAGTTTTTTCTGATGTTTACGTGGAACCTCCTGTGCTCCAGTTTGCATCCATGGAAGGAAAAAAAAAAAAAAAAGAAACAGCAGAGACTGACTTCCAGGAAGAAAAGCAAATATAACATGCATAAAAGCAAAACCAAGCCAACTTTTCCTACCAAAGCTAAGCAACTTTAATGTGTGAGACAATTTTTATATGGGTAAAGTAAAACATTTTTGAGTTCACATTCTGCTTTCCAGAAGGTTACTGATCAGCTGCATGTGAAGAGATAGGCAAGAATCTGTTAAAGGAAAGTACTCTTTCCATCTGCACATTTTTTGGTTTTTTTTTTTAATTAGTTGCATCCAGGGTATACCTAATAATAGAAATCCTTCTTTCTTCAGAGTAAAACCATGAACTACATCAATAATCAAGATTACATATCTATATTGAGAGAGCTCAACAAAAAAATTCAAGACATCTCTTCCATAAACACTTTCTTATACTTTCAGAAACAACATCTACTTGTGCCTGGGAAAAAGAGGTACTGATGAATTATGAGTTATTTGCTCTGGGAAAGAAAACCTGACACTAGCTCCTTGTGGAATACACCAACCAAAAGGCCTACTCTTCTGAAACAATCTCTTCTACAATTAAATTCCATGTAAAACCCAAGAGCAAGCCATTATATTAACCCTTAAATGAAATAAAAGTAAAACAAACAAAAAAATACACTGAAGTTTAATGACTTCATCCTGTGTACAGTCAACAGCAGCCTTAGGACTCATACAGTAGGCTTCCAAAACTGTTTTCTCCTCTAGTTATATCCTCACTACATACTTTATGGCAACTAGAAAACTTTCCTGAAAGAGAGAAATGTAGCTTCGATAAGGAGAAATGTAGCTATTTACTAAATTAACTGAAAAAACCCCCCAAAACTGAGTAACAAAAGGGAAAAAGAATAAAACATACTTAAATATATACAACTGATACACCCTTATTGTAAGGATTAGTCATCAGAAAATTATCTATCCTTCTGGGGTTTTAGGAAACATCAGTTTCTATGAATTACAGAGTGATACTTAAACACAGCGTATGCTGATGGTTATTCTCAACATGCACAAAACTGTGTGAAAACCATATTCACTACTACATAAACTCTAGTCACTATACTCAACTAAACACAAAAGTGAACCAAGAAATTAAGAGAAAAAGCATTGACTGAATTGTTTTCTTTTTCCTTTCACTCACACATTTAAAGACACTGTCATGTAGAAAGCATCACAATAAATAAGAGCACTTCAACAGAAATAAAGAAATATTTAATTTATCTGAACTTCAGTAACTGATTTATGAGTATGCAATGAATGCAGAAGTTGTGGAATGCATGATACTATGATACTGTTGAACTTAATGCTCATACAAAGGTGATCCTCACATTCATACCAACTTTAAACAAATCATCTTCGTATATATAGATATAGGGATATAAAATTAACTGTTCATGTATATGTGAAGTAATTACTATTGAAAATCAATTTTATAACACCATTTTACACCATGTCAGTTTGTAAGAAAACTTTAACATTTCATCATTTTACATCATCATGCAATAAAAATAAGTTTATAAAAATGTACTTGCTAGGAACATTCAACATTTACTTGTCAACGACTGTGGCCAATTTTAAAGACACCATAAACCCAAATGCCAATTAAATCTGACCATTAAAGAAGTATTCCAGGGACAGCATTTTGAACACAAGCATATTCATGACACATTCCTGCAAAATGCAATAACTAGAATAATGAAAGTAAATCCAAACTCCTGTTATGAAGCTACAATATCCTGTACATTTTCAGAAATAAAATGAAAAGCAGAATCTATACATTTCCAGTAGAGTTTAAAACCTCCTCTTTTCCATTTAAACCACACACATATCAAATAGATCTGCTATGTTCACAAGGTATGGATGTTAAAAAGTATTTCTTGGATCGCAGATCTTCTAACAAAATTCACTTCTCAGAAACATTTTTATCAATGTAAGTGTTGCTCTGTCAATGTGTGGGAAACATCATAATCACATTAATTCAACTGAAATGAAACGTTCAAGAAGGGAGAGAGAAACAGAAGCAAGCATAGATGCTAATTCTGAAGAATGTCTCTACAGAAAAACACATACATATAATTCAAACTATATTTTGAACATATTTTTAAGCTATTATCTTACAGCCTTCAGGATACGTTGTTTTGTCAAAAAATAAAAAAGCTAGCATTCAATCTATCACCTGCAAGCTTTTCAGATGCAAGACAAGAACTGTCAATTGTTTTATTCACCCAAAAAATCAGTGGGAATTCTACACTTCTTTTTAAAGATCAAGATGAAATTTAAAATATTTATGGTTATGTGCAATACAGGTCAAAATTCTTAACAAATATTCTTTCTTCAGACTTTTTAATCTTAACCAAATTTAATAGTCAGGATTTCCTATATAATCTCAGTATATTTCTAAAGTAATTGTGATTATGAGGCTATATTCTTTCCCAAAGAAGATGAAATAAAGGACCTTCCCAGATTAATTGCATCTGTGATTTTTCTAATAGTTGCTAGTAAGATTTTTTTCTTTTTGAGGAACCTGATCTTGACTGACAGCTTTGAACTTGTAACTTCTTATAACAACTTACTATAAATTTAGCTCTAAATATGACTGACCCCTGTCTGAAACATGATGTGCAGTTGAGAACCTTATTTGGTGAATTAGAAAGTCACGCTGTGGAAAATAAAAGATGCATGAGCGAATGTAAGGCATACAAATATGGACTGCAAAAATTTTAGAAAAATATTTGTTCGCTGAAGGAATGACAACAGAGCACTAAAAATAAACACTAGAAGTCCTCCTCCCCTTTTTTACTAGTCTGCTTGAACAGCCTTTCATTATTGAGTTAGTAAAGATTATGGCTGAGGAGATGCTGTTTTTACAAACTCCTCTTTATGTGGTTGCTATAAACAAACAGACACCATGATTTTAAAACCAGTTTACTGTCAACATGAATGAGGGTTCCTATGTGTATCACTGGTATCGGACAGTGAAATTATTAGACACCAAATGAAACCTTTTTTGTACTTTGTCTATATAAGCTCTTACCAAACGGTTCCTTTCAAAAGGATTTTGAAAAAAGCTGATATCAAAAGAGCAGCTGGTTTTCCTTCATCCTTGAAGTTTCAAATATGAAAAAAATATGTATTATCTTAGGATAAGTAAGAAAATTTACTCTATAACCTTAGAAAATTGAAAACAAGTAGGTTCTAAAGCAAGTCCTAACAAAACAAAAACCAACCAACCAAACAAAAGCATATGCATTTCAACTTCCTTTGAATTTGGATTTAAACCAGATCAGAACAGGGGCTGCTACAGAAAGCTCTGGGTACTTAGGGAAGAAGTGCTGGTAATTACTCTCAAAAAGCCAAGGAAAAAATAATATTTTTTTTTAACAAGACACCAATGGCATTGTATAGCAATGGAACTAATTCATTTCATATGAAAGACTAAAAAAAAATTCTGAGCTTCTGATCCATGTGACAGCAGATGCTAGACAGAGAGCTGTGACAGTAGAGAGGGTTTATGACTACAATAGCACGGACAAATGAACAATTAGAACAATTTTCCATTTAAAATAACAAAATTGATACAGCACTGTTTACTTCTAATCCTAAACTTGTATTGCATGATGCAATTTAATGATAAAGATGTGAGTAACATACACTGTGCCCAATCTTTTCACTAAGTGTATGATACTTCCGGGTAAATGTAACACACTCCTCATAACACTAATTTCACTAAGAGTGATCATGAATGTGTCCTTTACCAAAGGAAAGAAGATAAAAACACTCAAGCCATTTGATGCTTAAGAGAGTAGAAGCAGCTTCACAGAAACAGATAGCCCAATTATTTTTTAATTGAAAGCTGGATTCTCTTTTTGGCACGTTTTTTATATTCTTTGCCATTCTTGTTAACCTATTCTCTCAACCAGCTTAATAAAATAACTTTAATATGGCCCTACACACTACTTAGCCTGGCCTCAGAGCAGTATTTAGAATCTCCAAGAAACTGTTTGGATTTTAGAATAGATGTTTGAATTAGCACTGAGTTTAACAAGACACAGTAATAACATGTAGATCAAAGCTCAATCCTATTATAATCACACAGGGTAATTAAAAGCAATTGCAGGCACACATCATTTCCAGTTTAGCTCCTTGTTCTCCACAGTCATTTTGGATTCCATATCAAACGTGATGATAAATTGTCTAATCTGATTTTAGTGATGCTGTTATTTCAGTTCAGATTTAAACACATTTTTATTCTACCTGGAATAGAAGGTCGTACAGGCTGTATTAGCTCTGGCTTCTGGAGAGGATTTCCAAAGTAGACAAACCACTCTTTTACCAAAGGACAGGCTCCACCTAAAAAAGTCAGAATTGGATTAGTAAGTCAAATGCAAGTATTTAAAGTGGAAAAGCTGGAAGCAGTGGCAATCAGGTTTCTAAAGTAACTGAAGGCATTTCATAATGACTTGTTTGCTCAGCTTCTTTAAAAACAAACCAAGAAAAATTAGTTCTAGGATCTTCATGACAAATCATTAGAACAAATGAAGAGTGTTTGAATTATGTACTATAAACATGAGTTTATAGTTGGGAACTGCAGCCAAATATGTAAGTACAAGAGTCTGTGGAAAGCATTCTAAAATGGCTTTAAGCCAATTTTAGGCCTTCCCATTCCAAGGCAGTTCAGGAAGCTATGAAGGCATCTGGCATAGCCTGGGGACCTACATGAGCTACCTCAGTCTCTCAGGGATGTCACACTGCCACATATGCAGGCAGCCCTTAAGATGATTCTCCTCCCAGCTTGCCCTGACATTTCCTATGTCAGAGTTTAAGACACAATCTTTATAAGGAGGCCTCGATAGCTATTTGAAAGCTGACAACAATGGAGTCATCCCACTGTCAGATGTAGAGCTTTTACAGCCCATTGTTCCAAACCTTTTATCTAGCATAAAGGGATTGTTTATGCATAATAGCTCAAGTGGCTTCCTACCCCTTAACCTCAACTCTGCCCCTCCCCCAAGCAAAGAGCAGGGTGCCTCTTAAATTAAAAACTTCACTACTTAAGCCATGCAGAAAACTACTGGATGCTTTTGGGGAAAAAAAAAAGCAGCAAACAACAAAAAAACCCCACAAAATACCTCAGAAAAAAACTCAAGCATTTAAGAATTTTTGAAATTGAGCCTATCCAATTTCCAATAGTCATAATCATTTCAATGCAAGTCGTCATAAAAAAACCAAACCAAAAAACCATAACCAACAAACTAGAATAATTATTATTGTTATAAATGGTGCTTCTGCATTCTGTCCAGATTTTGTTTATGGCAACCATGTCATAGTGCCCTAAACTTCCACTCTTCATGGTCTGGTTAATAGTATGAAGTAAACAGATCTGGGCACTTCGAATAGTATTTTTAAATCTTTTCCAGGCAAATCTCAAGACTTGTCCTTCCCCTGTCCCTTTCCAGATTCACAGAATTGCACCTCTTATATCTTCCAGCTCTCACTCAGTGCTGAAGCCACTGTTCTTAAAAATTCCTGCCTTTTATCACCAATTCCAATCACCCTCTGCACAAGTATTTCTGACGCCACATTATGAACCCTAATAAAAAACTTCCCCTAGCTTAAAACAAATGAACAAATGTCTTCAACACCCCTCCATCACCCCAAAAAAGTTTAGTTACCATAATTCCCTGATCTCGTTCACATCTCAATGCTGCAAGTAACTGTAGGCATGAATGAAAGAGTAGTGTGCTGTGGTGCAAAGGCAGAAATTCCTCAGATGAAGTTCTGGTGTCAGGGATAAGAGAGGGGGAAAGAGCATGACAAAATCTGGTTTAAAGCCTTCCTCACTCATGGACCTGCAAGCACAAACTCCTAGTAAAGGGGACGGACTGAAGAGCCAACAGCTGGACTGTGAGGGACAGCATTACAGCTGGCTTGCCATGCTTCACTGTTCAAAGACTGATGACATTAAGAATAAAATGAAAAATGCCTACACTGGCGGGAAAAAAGGGTCTTAAACTGCACATTCCAGTAGCTGAATAGTCTCACATCTTGATTATAAGTAACTGCTTACAATAATGCTACATCTTGAACAAACTCCTCAAATGTCTCAAAGACACTTTCAGAAACATTACAATGTTTTAACATTCTGTTTGAAGATTTATTACGTAAATTAATCTGCTTTATTTAAACTATTCAGCTCACTCAGCCTCCCAGATCTTAGCCTGACTTCTTAAGGATACAAGCCTAATACAATTCAGACATCTATCTTATAATTAATTAATGGATGCAGTGCTCTGATTTAACAAAATTTGACAGAAGAGGTGAAACTTCATATGTATTAAATTCCTAACCATTTTGTGAAACTGGTGGCTCAGCTGACAGAGGGATCCTGTTAGAGCACAAACTGAAATAAAGGCAGGAAAGTCAAGATACCTGTTGTATCTGAATGCACTGGATGGGAAATCAATACATCTTATGGAAGAGCTAGAGCTGAATAAAAAGGTAGATGGGATTTCACAGAATCACAGAATTTTTTGAGTTGGAAGGGACCTTAAATATCATCGAGTTCCAACTCGCCTGTATGGGCAGGGACACCTCCCACTAGAACAGGCTGCTCAGAGCCCCATCCAACCTGCCCTTGAACACCTCCAGGGATGGAGCTCTGTCACAGTTTGACTCAGGTCCGACAACAATGCTCTCGATCCCCCCTCCCCCCAACCCAGGTAGGGAAGGAGAGAGAGAAAAAGAGAGAGACTTGGCCGGATTGAAAACTAAACTACACAGCTTTAATTAAAACACTAATGAATCATACAAGAAAATATATACAATTTTATACGGATATATATTCAGGTATGGGCAAAAGCCTCTCCCCTCCCCCCACCCCCAGCAACTCCCACACCACTTCCCTGAGCTGGGAAGAGTCCCGAGGAATCCCGGAGCTGCTGCTGGAGAAAGCAGAGAGTTATGGGGGTCAGGAGATCTTGATCCTAAGGGTCGACAGTGATGGATGAACAGAGTCCTCCCCGGACGCCAGCCATGGACGGAAGAGAAGGGGAGAAGAAGACGGAAGGAAGTTGTCTTCTGTGATTTCTGACCTTCCTCTGAGCTTACGTAGATATATGGAATGGAATATCTTTGGCCAATTTTGCTGTCCGTCTAAC